ACACAGCCCGACTTGATAAGGTGCTTGAACAGGGAGATGCACTCTACTGTTGGATTAAAACAAATCTTCAGCAGGAGAGGTGTTATACACAAGATCATCTGACCATGGAAGACCTGCCCAAAGAAGTTCATACCGACATAAATGTCTACAGTGTGAAAATGGACAACATAAGGTATGGATACCTGAAAACACCAGACAAAACTTATCAAAGAAAAGAGTGGTGGTTGCCTCTTGCTAGTCGCCTTGTATGTCTGTCAACAGATGTGAACTATGCTTTGCTCATGGTCTCACCTCAGTGCATTGCAGTTTTCCGTGACAAATCTGGGAGGTATGGATTATTTGATTCACATTCAAGAAGTGCAGCAGGTTTATCTGAGCCAAATGGAACAGCAGTCATGCTCACTTTCACTCATGTGGATGACCTGATCACCCACTTGCATAACCTTTTTCAAAATCAAGGCAAGTATGCAAAATATGAGTTTGTGCCTGTTTCTCTCAAAAGAGTCAGCACTCACAACGAACAGCCTGCACAGTCAACAGGAGCAACAGCTACATCATCACCACAAAATGATGAACCACAAATCCCACTGTGCAAGTGCCTCAACCAGAATCAGAAATACAGAGAGGATCATGTCAGAGAAAGGAAGAGGGCATACATAAGAACAAAATATGCATCTGATCCAAACTACAGGCACAAACAAAAAAAATCAATTCATGCCAGGTATCACAATGACTCACAATTCAGACTGCACCATATACAGCGCTGTACCCAGTACCAGAGACACAAAATGGCTACCACTGCATCTTTCACCATTTATAAAAAGTTGTGTGCACAGAGAATAAAGAAGCCTCTATGGCTGCTGTTGCGATCCCAGTGTGCCCCCTGTAGCTCTGTGGACGGTTTTTGATTTGTTTACATCTCACCCCAACCGGTCGCGGCAGATGGCTGCCCCTCCCTGAGCCTGGTTCTGCCGGAAGTTTCTTTCTGTCAAAAGTTTTTCCTTCCCACTGTCGCCAAAGTGCTTGCTCATAGGGGGTCATGATTGTTGGGTTTATCTATATACATTAATGCTTGTATGCTTTTCATTTATTCTTTTGCCTTACTCTTCGGTTCATAATATAAAGTTACTTGAATGGTTTCCTTTTTCCTTATTTTATGTTGCTTTGCTGTTTACCACAATCTAAATATCATGTTTAAATGGAATACATTATTGTAAATGGTATTTGTACAAAATATAATTTGAATGAGATAAGATACCTTTATTAGTCCCACAAGGGAAAATTTCAAAATTTGCATGTGGTATTTTCCCTTTTCACATTAAAATACCTTTGAAATACAAATTGAATACCGCTTAATGGACTTTTTTTTTTTTTCTACCAAGAAAACTTACTTTGGCTTACAATCTGTTAAACTGTTCACTTTAAACGACTCAAAACTGTAAAATCTAAATTGTAACTTCTCTTGAACACCTCAGACTTAAACATAATTTCTTTTATTTCTTTTATATCTATTAACTTCTTTTGTAATGGTGCAACTGGAGCATCTTTCTCTCATCTCTGTATGCTGCACTGCATATAGCAGAGATCACAATACAGCTTACTTTTCCTTAACTTGAAAATCAGCTGTATTCAATTTCCCTCCCCCTAGTGTTATAAATGGCAACCTGCACTAATTGCACCACATTAAAGGCAAACTACACTCATTGGCAGCGGCATAGGCACACTTAAAATTTGTTCTGAAATTTTCGCTTTCTAGTTTCTTTTTATTGTTCAATGTCAGTTTTCTGTGACATGCTCGCTGGTCTCAGATTGAACAGATGAGTAACAGCAGCAGCAGCTGGTGTCTCAGTTTTATGGAAATGCTTCATTTACACAGAACTGACCTCTGCGCTGTTTGTAAAAACTGTTTCACGTCAGGTCCTACAGAGCTGCTGATGTTGGATCCTGCCTGCATCACAAACACAGCTTTATGATCCAGAGATAATAAAACAAAGGCCCTTTAATTTAAGGATGACAGCTTTATTGCTGCACAGCTCTAAACGTTACAGCGTGACTCAGGAAACTGAACTCGACTAAAATAAAATGCAACCTGTTCATTTGTTGGAAACAAAAGAAGCAGCTGTGCATTATTCAGAATCTAAATAAAACAAATAAAGTGCAGCACCAGAGGGGGGCATACTGAGTGATTCATAATGATAATATTACAATGTGTGCAATAAGATAAAGATTAAAGTCCTTTATTGGTTATGCCCATGCAGCTCTATTCACTGCAGAAAGTACATGTAGGTAAGTATCCACCTGTTGCTCTTCTTTTCTCTTTCTCGTCACTCACAGGATCTTTCCCTTCAAAGGGACTTTTTCTCTCCCACAATCACAATGTGCCTGCTCACAAGGGGTCACTTGATTGCTGGGGTTCTCTCCACAATACTGTCGGATCTTTACCTTTCAGAATAAAGTGCCCCGAGGCCAACGTTGTTGTGACTTGTTGCTGATTAAAAAAACTTCAATTAAATTATAGAAACTACTATAAAGAACGTTTCAAACTAGTGACAAATAGACAGAAAACTCCAATAACAGAAAGACAACAACATAACATGAAGTCACCTTTGCCAAAAACCTGCAGTTCCTCTAGTGACCAGCTCATCTTGTAACCGGAAGGTTGCCGGTTTGATCCTCAGCTCTGTCTATCTTGTTCGTTGTGTCCTTGGGCAAGACACTTCACCTACGACCTACTGGTGATGGCCAGAGGGGCCGATGGCGCGGTATGGCAGCCTCGCTTCTGTCAGTCTGCCCCAGAGCAGCTGTGGCTACGACTGTAGCTGCCTCCACCAGTGTGTGAATGTGAGAGTGAATGAACAGTGGAATTGTAAAGTGCTTTGAGGGTCTCGAAAAGTGCTAAATAAATGCAATCTATTATTATTATTATTATTATTAATTGAAGCTGGCTCTATAAACGAGTCAGTCATAAGAAATGTTCATTTTACAGCAGAAACAGACGCAGCTGTTGAGGGTTTTTAACTCACTTGTTTAAACTTTATGAGTACTGAAAGTTATGTCGTTTTACAGGATGCTCTGGCTGACAGATGCGTAGCTGCAAGGTGTCTATGAGCCCTCACCTCGGCTGTGTGGAATCACTGAACTGGAGCCTTTTGGGGCTTTTTCATGCAATTATCTGATAAATAATATGGATGTGGTTCAGTTTATTTGGATGTTAGCAGTAACTAGCAGGTATCTCTATCTGTGCAATGCACCTGTACGGCTAGCTTGCTAACTTTGTAGTGTCAGTTAATTACTTAGCAGCCCATCCTGCTATTTAGATATAAGCACTTTTGTTAACCAAAAAATAACACTGTGGGAGCCAAAACACTAATGCTGAGGCTTCAGTCACTGGGTGACATCATAGTGGCTCGTCATGTTTGGAGGACGAAGAATACTGAGTTGCATCCCAAGAACACCATACCTACTGTGAAGCATGGGGGTGGAAACATCATGCTATGGGGCTGTTTTTCTGCCAAGGGGACAGGACGACTGATCCGTGTTAAGGACAGAATGAATGGGGCCATGTATCGTGAGATTTTGAGCCAAAACCTCCTTCCATCAGTGAGAACTTTGAAGATGAAACGAGGCTGGGTCTTCCAACATGACAATGATCCAAAACACACCGCCCGGGCAACAAAGGAGTGGCTCCGTAAGAAGCATTTGAAAGTCCTGGAGTGGCCTAGCCAGTCTCCAGACCTCAACCCCATAGAAAATCTGTGGCGGGAGTTGAAAGTCCGTGTTGCTCGGCGACAGCTCCAAAACATCACTGCTCTCGAGAAGATCTGCATGGAGGAATGGGCCAAAATACCAGCTACTGTGTGTGCAAACCTGGTAAAGACCTATAGTAAACGTTTGACCTCTGTTATTGCCAACAAAGGTTATGTTACAAAGTATTGAGTTGTATTTTTGTTATTGACCAAATACTTATTTTCCACCCTGATTTACGAATAAATTCTTTACAAATCCTACCATGTGGATTCATGGATTTTTTTTTTCACATTCTGTCTCTCACAGTTGAAGTGTACCTCTGGTGCAAATTACTGACCTCTGTCATCATTTTAGGTGGGGGAACTTGCACAATCGGTGGCTGACTAAATACTTTTTTGCCCCACTGTATGTCCATCTTTTATATACAGTCCATGATCTCATCCCAGTATGTTCTCCACTTCTATCTTAACAACCCCGGAAAAGGGGAATATCTTCTGGAAGAATCTCCTCCCTCTGTTTGACTTCCTGAGTACAAACTCTGCTCTGGCTGCAATGACACCTTCCTCTTGTTATTCCCCTTCATCAGTCACTGTCCTGCAGGACTGCACCACACCTGCACCACAGCAGTTCAAAGATTCACTCTAAAAGTTTGAAGATGGGCTTTGGCTGAGCGTCTGACTGAACTTACTTGCTATACTATGAAATGAAAACAAATTCAGCAGTGATTACAGAGATCTAACCTCCAAACCAGAGAATTAATCATAAACTCTGCTGTTTACAGACTCTCAGTTCTAACTTGTTGTTTTTCTGCTGAATATCTGAGTTTCTTTACAAAGACTTCTGTTCCTCAGTGACATCATGCAGACAAGTTCTCACTGTTACAAACAGCATTGGAAATATCCCAGACATTCAGCTGAGCGTCTTCAAAGTGCAAAATATGACTCATTTATTAAATATTTGAGGAGTAACGCTGCACTCAGTGTCTCGGCTTAAAAAATGCAAGACAGCAGCGAAGACACAACGTTCTCATAGACCTGACTTTACAGGAAAAAACGTTCACGCAGTCGTCCTTAAACACATCTTTACAGCTGCCAGCAAACAGAGACGATGGTCACACCGGCCAGCTCTGACAAACTCAAACTAAATATTAGATTTTACATGGAAAGAAGGGAATAGCTCTCTAATGTTTTGGTGCTCTAATATTCCACTTCATGAAAAGTGGATAAGTAAATGTGAATAATGGATGTGTGTACCTCGCTCTGCAGCTCAGTAACCTCTTTAACGTGCTGCGTCTCCAGAGTCTCAGGGAGCTGGTGATACAGAGAGCTGCTGGCCTCCTTCTTCCCTGCTTCTTTGTATTTAACCTGCAGGAAAATGTTACGTTCATTATCACAGTTTTTACATTCTGTCTCGGACAGCATTATGGGAGAAGATGTGCTGTTGCAAAAAGCTTTTAGTGTCACCTTTTCAGACTAATATTGTGCTTATTTTCTCTGTATGCACTGGATATGGACTAACACCAGGTAAACAGGAAGAACTGGATGTTTCTTGTGTTCTTCAAAGAGAATAAAATCAGTCTGAATATGTTGCAGCAAAGAAGGGGGAGCACAGAAAGGCACCCAGGAGCTCTGAATGTGATAACACTGATAACAAGACCAGAATAGACAACAGCAGCCAGTTTATCTGCCCTGTGTTAGCCTGATGGAGTGTCTGAGACGGGCACACATATTTTAGACTCTAAGGGCTTTGCATTGACAGTCGTACGCTCCCTGCAGGCTGATAACGTCTCAGATACGGCCACGCCTCTCTATCCTTCTGTGGGAGAATATTCAAACTCTGCAGGAACTCTCTGGGTGGTGCTAACCACTCCACCACCATGCTGCACCACAGGATTTTTTAACCTGGAATTTATACCTGTACCACAATTTTCTTTACCTGATGTTACTTTGACTGTTTGTTTAAAACCCAAATATTGTCTGTAACAACACGAAAACAGTTCCCACCTCGCTGTGCGTCTCAGCCATCTCTTTAACAAACTGAGTCTGCAGAGTTTCAGGCAGCAGCGAGTACAAAGTGTTGGGCAGATCCTCTTTGTCCTTCTTGTAGTTTGCCTTCAAACAAAAGAATGAAAAATGCTTTAATCCTACACGAAAAACTTAAAAACACTTATTTTTTACTATAATACTAATAATAGAATTAGTGCTGCAAACTGTAGATTTCTTACAGACACAGATCCTCTGAGATCTGATGAAACTATACACCTGTGTGGTGCGTTCAGGGTCCTCACCTCACTCTGTATTTCTGACATCTGTTTGGCGAACTGTGTCTCTGCCGTCTCTGGGAGCAGCGAGTACAAGTTCTTACTGATCTCCTTCTTACCCTCCTCTTTGTACTTCACCTGCACACACACACACACACTGACTTTAAACAGCTGACACACAGCAGGGACACTTTCACATTCAGACTGTGTCTCTGTGTCTCTCACCTCACTGCAGATGTCTCTCAGCTCTTTGGCCAGCTGTGTCTCTGTGGTTGCAGGTAGCTGATGATACAGAGAGCTGCTCACCTCCTTCTTACCGTCCTGTTTATACTTCACCTACAAAGACACCAAACAACAGGCAGAATTCAAACTGCAGAGGAACATTTGCTTGTGTTTTCTCTCTTGTCTGTGATGTGAGTACCTGACTCTGCAGCTGTGCCACCTCTTTGGCGTGCTGAGTCTCCAGAGTCTCGGGCAGCTTCGAGTACAGAGAGCTGGATGCTTCCTTCTTCCCTGCTTCTTTATATTTGCTCTGCAAAACAAAGAGAGGAAAATAATAAATAAAGGCATCGAAAGTAAACGCTGTGACTGAGGTTTGACCTTTAAACAGATCTTAAACACACGATGTTCCCGTACCTCACTCTGTATTTCAGATACAGCTTTGGCAAACTGGATTTCGTTGGTCTGTGGCAGCTGTGAATACACACTGACACTCTGGCTCTTCTTCCCACTTTCCTTATATTTGTTCTAGAAATGAAGACAAAGACGTGGCATCAGACGCTGGTCTCCTGTCTCTCAGCAGATATTACACCAACCAAGACAAAGCAAACGTGCAGATGAGCGGAATCAGAGGGATTTCCTACAGGATCCACTACAAAACTTATCTGAACTGTTTTCATCCTTCTGTGAGATGGATGAAAACATGATATAAGGATCACTTTTCCTTCTCTTCTCTTCACTTCCAGCTAACGCTCACAGCTGGACTCAGACACAATCCTTCAGTCCTTTATTACATATTCTGTATATGACATGTTGCATACAGACAGTCTCAGAGATCTTACGGCTCTTCGGCCTTATAATGTTGGAGTTGCTCACAGGCCCTGCAAACTGCCAACGTCCCTGTAATTTTCTCCAAGCACCTTGGAAGTAGGTGCAGTTATGCCAGAGACCTCTACTCAAAACATCAAGCCCCCACAGGACACCCCCAGAGGTCCCCGGAGTCCTGAACACCTATCTGGGGATCTACACAATATCAGGCATGTGGTTTAATGCTGTTGCTCACTTGTACATGCTCTCTATTCTTTCTAATGCTTAATGGATTTTGTAGAAACAAAAAAAGTCTCTGAACATCACATTAAGAAGTCTCGTATAGAAGATGAAAGATCTGCAGCAGAACTGTACCTCGCTCAGTATTTCACTCATCTCCCGGGCAAAGTGGGTCTCTGTGGTTTCAGGGAGCTGAGCGTACAGAGGCGACATCATCTCCTTCCTCCCTTCATCTTTGTACTTTTTCTGTTGGAAACAAAGAATTCAAGTAAAGAAAAAGAAACAAAAACTTTTCATCTCTGCGAACAAGAATAAACTCCACTGAGTCCCAGCAGATGACAGCTGTTTACAGCTGTTCCAGAAATGATTGGAAAGAAAAAAAAACACTATCTTGACCTGCATTTAAAAGAAGCTCGTCGGGTCACCTGCTGAGTTTCTTTAGCTCGCTGTACTAACATCAAGCCAACACTTCACAGTAATAACAGAAACACTTTGGACAGTGGTGATTCGCCTCCATGCGGGACTTGATTCACTAAACTGAAACTGCAACCAGCTTTGTGTGAAAGAAGTGTTGGATGAGGTGTCGCCTGTGTGGAGAGAAGCCACACAGACAGGTCCAGACGCCTGGTGGATTTAAACCACAGATACTTTGTGCAGAGGCGTTGCACCACTGTGCAGCTAATTGTTCTCTTCTTCATTCGCAGTTTTCATTTTAATTCTGTTTTTAACATCTGTGTAACTGTTCTACCTGCTGTGTGTTTACGTGACTCTGGTCCGTTGTGTTTAGATTTCCTGTACTTGATGGTATCTAATCAACTGGAGGCGCTGTAGGTCAGCTCCTGCTGCTTAGTGTTAAACACTGTACATGCACTGTTCTGTGTGTAATCACACAGTCTCACATCTCCAACCCTGAATAAATAAAAGCCAAATGAAGCGTGAGGAGCAGGAAACACACAGCAGGATTCACTCACTTCACTCTGCAGTTCAGTCACTTCTTTGACGCGTTTGGTCTCCAGAGTTTCGGGCAGTTTGGAGTAAAGAGACGACGCCGCGTGCTGCTTACCTGCCTGCTTGTACTTCACCTGTCAAACAAACACACACTTTAAATCCCCACAGAATCACACTCTCACAACTTCATCCTGCCTCAAACTGTTTCCCAGCTACTCATGACTGGAAATATCTTATCCTTCACTGAGCAGTGTTATCAGCTCTGCAGGCGACTGGTAGTTAATTTAGTAACCACTCTGTGACATCACCAGCTGCATCTATCCAATAGGATTTCAGCTTCATGCCCTGTTTGACCCTGTGCAGCTTAGACATGCCATGAATGTGGGGAATCGGACAGAGCTGATTGAATTCTGTTGGAGTTTATTTACTGTTGTAAGTTTATTTGCACCCGTGTGCTGCGGCTGGAGCTTATTAATGTAAAGCTGTTTAACAGGTTTAAGGTCAGAGTATCTGAGCCGTCCAACACGCTGCAGGACTGCGTCCACAGCAGCGCCCACTCTCGCTGCTGCCATTTAAGGACCGTATCAGTCTCTGATGTGTTTTCCAACACGCTAAAAATGTTTATTGGTCTTCTGTTGTTAATGTTTCGTGTCCTAAATTTCCAGTTTGACTTAATAAATCCAGAACAGGACGTGTTGATATGACCTTAGAAACACAGCAGAGTGCTGGAAGCATCTAAACGTAGATGTGACATCACTCCAAACTCTCGGACACGGACATATTTATCAAGACTTATGAGCTACTTTTTGGATAACACCTGTATATAGAAGTTCACTGACAACAACTGAGTGACATGTGAGCTGTGACAGACTGGAAATGCAGAACTGATCCAAAGTGCCAGGATGCACGGATGACAGAGCTGGAAAAACAGGAGCTCCGTGTTATAGAGCTGACAAAAGCAGCCTCATTTCATCAATGCTTAGATGGCCTAAAATAGAGAAAAGACCAGCTTCACGTAGAAAACAATAAACGCAGTCCATTCAGTATTTATGCGTTTGGGAATTTTCATTGTTTTGGGAATTTTGAATTATTTGAGAATATCTGAATTTGGACTTTATTCTTACTCCAAGTGTTTGAAGTTTCAGAATTCTCTCAAGGCTGTTTATTCTGGGATCTTCGAGTGTTGTCTCCCTGCTTTATAAGGTCTCTGCACAATGCAGTGCTACTTCAGTACTTGATAGTCGGACACACCCTGCAGGCTTCAAACCCAAATATTGTCTGTAACAACGCTTTGTCCAAAAATGGCAGGACAGTGATGATCACTAAAACAGTTCCCACCTCGCTGTGCGTCTCAGCCATCTCTTTAACAAACTGAGTCTGCAGAGTTTCAGGCAGCAGCGAGTACAAAGTGTTGGGCAGATCCTCTTTGTCCTTCTTGTAGTTTGCCTTCAAACAAAAGAATGAAAAATGTTTTTAATCCTACACGAAAAACTTAAAAACAGTTTTTTTTTACTATAATACCAATAATAGAATTAGTGCTGCAAACTGTAGATTTCTTACAGACACAGATCCTCTGAGATCTGATGAAACTATACACCTGTGGTGCGTTCAGGGTCCTCACCTCACTCTGTATTTCTGACATCTGTTTGGCGAACTGTGTCTCTGCCGTCTCTGGGAGCAGCGAGTACAAGTTCTTACTGATCTCCTTCTTACCCTCCTCTTTGTACTTCACCTGCACACACACACACACACTGACTTTAAACAGCTGACACACAGCAGGGACACTTTCACATTCAGACTGTGTCTCTGTGTTTCTCACCTCACTGCAGATGTCTCTCAGCTCTTTGGCCAGCTGTGTCTCTGTGGTTGCAGGTAGCTGATGATACAGAGAGCTGCTCACCTCCTTCTTATCGTCCTGTTTATACTTCACCTACAAAGACACCAAACAACAGGCAGAATTCAAACTGCAGAGGAACATTTGCTTGTGTTTTCTCTCTTGTCTGTGATGTGAGTACCTGACTCTGCAGCTGTGCCACCTCTTTGGCGTGCTGAGTCTCCAGAGTCTCGGGCAGCTTCGAGTACAGAGAGCTGGATGCTTCCTTCTTCCCTGCTTCTTTATATTTGCTCTGCAAAACAAAGAGAGGAAAATAATAAATAAAGGCATCGAATGTAAACGCTGTGACTGAGGTTTGACCTTTAAACAGATCTTAAACACACGATGTTCCCGTACCTCACTCTGTATTTCAGATACAGCTTTGGCAAACTGGATTTCGTTGGTCTGTGGCAGCTGTGAATACACACTGACACTCTGGCTCTTCTTCCCACTTTCCTTATATTTGTTCTAGAAATGAAGACAAAGACGTGGCATCAGACGCTGGTCTCCTGTCTCTCAGCAGATATTGCACCAACCAAGACAAAGCAAACGTGCAGATGAGCGGAATCAGAGGGATTTCCTACAGGATCCACTACAAAACTTATCTGAGCTGTTTTCATCCTTCTGTGAGATGAGCTCAGTAATTGGAGGCAGCAGTTTCCCAGAGATGGAAATGATATAAGGATCACTTTCTCTTCTCTTCCAGCTAACGCTCACAGCTGGACTCAGACACAATCCTTCAGTCCTTTATTACATATTCTGTATATGACATGTTGCATACAGACAGTCTCAGAGATCTTACGGCTCTTCAGCCTTGAAATGTCGGAGTTGCTCAACCAGCAGTTGCGTTATTGCAAACAGAAATCACAGCAAACAGCTGGTATCAGTGTGACTTTCCTGGTCTTAAAAAGCAGGACTCCCTGGCATTCATGCAGATGTTACTTTGACGTGAATGTGACAAGCGCAAAGTGTAAACCTGGCCTCTAAATCCTGCAGATACAAATCCAATCCAACATCGGCGGGAACAGTAACGGGAAAATGTAATGCCACCTTCCCGTGTTTTCCTCCAAGCACCTTAAGAACAGGTGAAGTCAAAACACTGGAGGTCCCACATCCAAGCCCTGAACAGTGAAAGCTTTTGTGGGGCAAGATCAGGCAGCTGCTTTTAATGCTGTGGCCTTACTTACTACACTTTCTGTTCTTTGTAATCCTTAATGCATCATAGCAGCAGAACTGTACCTCGCTCAGTATTTCACTCATCTCCCGGGCAAAGTGGGTCTCTGTGGTTTCAGGCAGCTGAGCGTACAGAGGCGACATCATCTCCTTCCTCCCTTCATCTTTGTACTTTTTCTGTTGGAGACAAAGAATTCAAGTAAACAAGAGACACGCTGAGGTGAGCAATCGCAGGCAGCTCAGTCTGCGCAGGATTTACTTTTAAGGGAGGAGTTTTGTACTTTTTATATATTCATACAAATATATTTTCTTTATTCTCTTTAAATGTAACTTGTAAAGCAGTAAAAATAAGATTAGGGCAACAAAACAAAAGTTTACTTTGATTACACAAACATTATGTAGGTGTGAGTGATGGCTAATATTGATAACAAGTATGGAGAACCCAGAGCACTTTATACAACATGCCTCATTCATATAAACACTTTGTTTCCTTTGCTTAACTGCTTTCTATCAAACATTCACACACATTCATAATCGGATGGATGCATCGGAGCAACTTGGGGTTAATATCTTGCCCAAGGATGCAGTCAAGGATCGACTCACCGACCTTCCTATTAGTAGACCACGTGCTCTACCTGCTGAGCTTCAGCCAAAGCAAAGGCAGCAAGAAATATAGTTTAAAATAGCATTAATATCAATTTGACCTTCAGATAAATCTATCGAGCTTGAGGGAGAGGTCAGAGGTCAAATGTGACATGATATTTTAAAACAGTGCTTTCTGTATGTTGGCACATACAGCACAGCCTTTTGCTCCTCAGCTTTCTACCAATAAATCCTTCAGCTGACCTTGAAGACGTTGGTGGATTTAAGGCAAATGTTAATGGATTGTTAACATGACCCAGACAAAGTTTCCAGGAGTTCAGAAGGTTTCGTGTTCACAGACAGAACGACGTCCTCAGCAGATGTAATATAAACAAACAACAAAACACTGCAAGAAATCTTCATCTCAGGCAACAGCTGAACTCCTCACTGGCTCCCAGCAGATAACAGCTGTTTACAGCTGTGCCAGAAATGATTGGAAAGAAAAAGCATCATCTTGATTTGCATTTAAAAAGGGGCTCGCTGGGTTACCTGCCAACTTTCCTGTTTTACAACTGGCACAAACAGATCACTTCACAGCTGTTTCTGTGCTGCTTTTAAAATTCCTCTGAAAAGTCTTTAAGCATCAGTTCAGCTGCATTTTACTCTGCTGCTTACTGGAAACAGATAATAACAGAGATGACATAAGAGATACATCTCGATCCATGATTTCTTTCACAAAGCTGGTTTTCAGTTTCAGTTCATCTCTCAGAGACTATTATAAATGTTTTAGGTTCTTTCTTCTATACACATCAACCAAAAACACCATGTTCACCATTATGCTGACGACACTCAGTTTTATCTACTTGTCACATGTGACCTTCTACATTTGGGTGAAAACCCAACGTATTTGTATTACATTATAGTGGAAATGGCAGTTTTGGAGCCTGAGCTCAAACAACATTAGCTCTGCTAAGTGTGAATAATAATAATAATAATAATAATAATACATTTTATTTAAATAGCGCCTTTCAAAGCACCCAAGGACACTGTACAACAGATATCCAGTTTGAACGATAAATGAAAACCTTACAGTTCTTGCGTACGGAGGGCAGCTTTTACCAGACTGATAAATTAAAACAGCTTTTATATCTTAAGCAAACTGTAGTTGATGCTGCTGTGACTTCCAGCCTGGAGTACATTTGGTTTGTCCGACTCTTTGGTTCAAAAGGCAGCTACTTGGCTTTTAATCGGTCCAGAGAAAAGACGACACATCACTTCAGTTTTAGCTCAGCTGCACTGGTTAGCTGTGGAATCAGGATTTATTTACATTTTATTTTTTGGATCAGCTCAGCTGTATGTTGCAGATCGAGTAACTCCACATTTTGCTGCCAGTTCACTGGAGTCATCCTCAGCAGTTTCCCTCAGTGCCCCCCCTCTAACCTAAAAACTGAGGGTGACAGGTCTCCTCTGTTCTTGCCTCCTGGCTCTGGATTAATCTGTCATCCCACATAAAGTCAAACAGCTGACAACTTTAAATCAGTTCCTGCTTCCAGTCAAGCCTGAGGTGCCTCACGGTTTGTATCAAGTGTATGTTTTTTACTTGTAGATTTGTTTAACGTAATAATTTTCTTATTTACGATATTCCAACCATATTTATTCAGTGTTTTTTCCTTAGCTTCACTTCCACCCATCTATCCTGGAGTATCCCAGGTGTCACAGGATGGGATACACAGAGAGACAGAATCACCAACTAACCTTGACACGTCTTTGTCTATGTGAGGAACCTGGAGTACCTGATGAGATCGCACGCAGCTACAGCAAGAGCATGTAAAGGCCTCAGTTGGTCTGTGGACATGAATCATGTGTATGTGGCTTTTTTATTTTGTGCTTATAATTTCCTATACTTGGACTGGTGATATATTCTCCCCTAACTGGAACACACTTTGGGTTGCTGCCTGTTGTTTTGTGCTATATATGGAACTGCACTTGATGTAATCTTACAGTGCAATAAAACGAATAAGTGTTTTTCACCCAAACTACCTCTGCAACACTTAGAAGTAACGCTTTCTCCAACCTAAACTTGAAAAGTGTGAAATAATGGAAAAGCAGACTGAGGTAGAGCGATGGTACCACACACAGCAGGATTCACTCACTTCACTCTGCAGTTCAGTCACTTCTTTGACGCGTTTGGTCTCCAGAGTTTCGGGCAGTTTGGAGTAAAGAGACGACGCCGCGTGCTGCTTACCTGCCTGCTTGTACTTCACCTGTCAAACAAACACACACTTTAAATCCCCACAGAATCACACTCTCACAACTTCATCCTGCCTCAAACTGTTTCCCAGCTACTCATGACTGGAAATATCTCATCCTTCACTGAGCAGCGTTATCAGCTCTGCAGGCGACTGGGAGGTGACGTAGCAACTACTGTGACATCACCAGCTGCATCCAATAGGATGAACTGTTTGACCTTGTGTAGCTAAGACATGACATGAATGTGGGAAAACGGAAAGAGGTGATTGAATTCTGTTGGACTTCATTTACTGTTTTCTAGTTTACTTCTACTGGATGCTGATGATCGTTATTACCTGATAAATACAAAAGTTTAATGGGTTTAAACTGAGACTTATGGCTGAGCTGTCCAACACGCTGCAGGCCTGCCTCAGCTCGGACTCTGATTGCACACATACTATACTAGTCTTTGATATGTTTTTCGTACATGCTTAAAAAACTTTTTTTGCCCTATTTTCAATCCGTTGTGCCATAAATTTCTACAATGACTTAATAAATACAGCCATTAGAAAAAGATCTGCTGTTGGTATTTCCTTTTTTAGTCTGATTGTAACCATCTGTGTCTCACTTGTCTCATTTTTTAACTTCCCTGATTACTCTTTGTGTATAAATAGTCCTGTCTTCTCTTCGGTCTTTGTCTCTTTGTACTCCTGCAGTTTGATGGCTTGAGCCCAAATAAAGATTTAGTTCAACTCGTCAGCTTTGGTCTCCTGCTTTTAGACTTCAGTCAGTCTCAGCAAGGTGTGCAAATCTCATCCTTATCTCACCCTGATATTTCAGACATTCAAGAGGATTCACTCCAAGGAGAAAAATCTTTAAAGTCATGATGAGTGCTGCAGGTCAGTAAGCTCGGAGCTCCCACCTCGCTGTGTGTCTCAGCCATCTCTTTAACAAACTGAGTCTCCAGAGTTTCGGGCAGGAGCGAGTACAAAGTGTTGGGCAGATCCTCTTTGTCCTGTTTGTACTTTGCCTTCAAAGAGGAATAAACACAAATCAATGAACAGAAATAAGAGAACATTGAAATGCACAGGAGAATGGAAGATATCAGTGTGTGATGAGAGAGAACAGAGCCGCACCACGCTCTGGATCTCCGACATCTGCTTGGCAAACTGCATCTCTGGTGTTTCAGGCATGAGGTGGAAGAGTGAGGAGGACATTTCCTTCTTACAGCCCTCCTTGTATTTCACCTGCACCACAAACCAAACAAACACATCTCTGTTAATGTGCAATAAAACACTTTGCTTTCTCGAGGCTCAGCGTTGCCCCCATCCTCAATTTCATAACTCCACTTTAAGTTCAGACATTTCTGTCTTCACTTATTTTCAGCACAGCGAAAGTTTTCTTAACTTCGAGCAGTGATTAGAAGAAGTCTAGCTGAGTCAGCCTGACTAATGTTGTATTTTTGGAAAACCTTCCTCCTCCTCAGATAATAGAAGCTGCAGCAGAAACACTTTGTGACAGCTCGACAGGCACAGCATGAACTCGTGCACAGGAGGAAACCTTAAAGGTCACCAGGAACAACTGGACGTGCACTTCTATTCAGTCACATCATCAACAAGCACTGCAGGAAAATATGGACTGTATCATCTTAACGTTCACTTAGACTTTGAACTCATCTGTTATCCAGTGAGAAAGATTTCATGTTAAGTAAAATATCATTGAAATAGTTTCCCAAACTTTTTGTGCTTTTGCAGCAGCTTCAAACACCACAGTGTTTGATTCAGAGGAACTTCAGAATGAGTGTTCACACAGATCAGATTGAAGAAAAGGCCGATTGGGAAAGTTTCAGACTCGGACTTGAAAAGTTTCCTGCTGAATAAAAGCCTCTGTGTTGAGGCACAGCAGTGGCTGGATGAGTGTTTGTCACCTGACTCTGCAGCTCCGTCACGTCTTTGGCCAGCTCAGTCTGGAGGGTTTGAGGAAGGCTGGAGAACAAAGTGGACGACAGCTCCTTCTGCCCGTCCTCTTTGTACTTCACCTGCAGGGTCAACAGAACTGTTTTTATGTTCTTTTATTTTCTTTTTACTTTTATTGAAAACGTAAACTGAGTAGTGAAAAGGCATTCAGGGTTTGAGTCAGGAGAGTTGTTAGACACACAGAAGAGAGCATGTTTATGAGGAGAAAGGACTGGATCTGGCAGCAGGAGAGCACCGAGCTGCCACCATTCACATCCAGAGATGAATGATGTGGTTTGCATTAAACTATTAAAGTATTTCTTTACACTGAATAACTGTGGCCTGACTGTTTTGTTCTAGTTTTAGCTGAAAAATTGTTTCAAAATGAAAGCGATGCCAAAGTTGGAGACTTCACTGCACCATCTGCCAGCTTTGCCTCTCTTTCCATGAGGTTTGACAACTCATGGAAGGAGAGGGAGACTAAAACTGGTGACCTTTAACTCCTGAAACCTCCCATATTTAAAATCCCACTAAGCTAACAGATCCAAACACTGATTGCGTAGCAGGGTATAATGGTAATGATAGCAGGAGGCGATGGATGTGACAGTTTAGAAAATAAAGTTCACAATGCAGCACACAGCGAGACAATGACAGTTTGTATGCAGATACGAGTAAATTACACAAAGATTTTTTTTGTATTTAAAAGAACAACTTGCCAGTAACTAGTCTGCACGGAAAGAAGACGTGTGGCAGCTCAAAACCACTTAGAAACCAAATAAACTGTCAGTCAAATGTTTGGTACTTCAAAAAATGAAAGACGTTTGATTTCTTAATTGCATTCAATAATTCTCACTTTGTAAGACACAGTCTGAGTGAACTTTTATTGTACATGGACACAACTACCACAAGCATAACATATAAGACACAGATGTCCCTCATTCTTCTGTCCCTTTTCTCTTTTTTATTATTTTTTAAAGCTATTTTAAGGGTTTAAAATTGCAAAGAGTCTTGTAGGATTATAAACCTGTTTTGTGGATTTCTCAAAGTTGATTGGTTAGATTAGTGGGATATAAAATGGACAAGGAGAGCAAAAGGTCCAGAGTTTGAGTCACCGTGGGTCACATTTTGCTTGTTTTACACATTTCATTGAAGAAAGAGCAGAAGGATTCCCAGCTGCTATTCTGCAAATGGTCTCCAACATCAGCACAGCTTTCATTTTTGAACTATTTTCAGCCATCACTATGTTGATATAAATTCAAAATGTTTACAGTTTAAGCCTTTTTATGCAAATACATGTGAAAACATGAACACCAGGCTTTTATGATACAACAGTTAACTTAAAGTGTGTTGATTAAAAACTTGACGGTCCTCCGTTAGGCTTGGCAAGCCGCTGGACTTTAATAAACTGAAGGAATCTCTGGTGTGTCTTACCTCCTGACAATATGTTTCTTATCTCATAAAAACAGCAAACAGTACCTGGCTCTGTATCTGTGAGGCCTGCTTGGCGTGTTGAGTTTGCAGAGTTTCAGGCATCACAGAGTACAAACTGCTGCCGGTCTCCTGCCTCCCTGACTTCTTATACTTTGTCTGAAGATCACATAAAGAATAAGATCAGTTTCTTTACTGCTTTATTGGTTTGAGCTGTCAAACATCTAAATCTGCAGCATAAACGTTCACATTCTCAGTCCCAACGTTACTAAATTAGCTTCATCATGTTTGTCCAAATTAATTTAGGCTTTCACTGAAGAGCAGCTTTATGTAACACTTACAGCTTCTTTCTATCTTTCATCAACACATTTAAGTGTTTTTGATCATCCTCTCAAGTTTCCTTCATCTCACCTCGCTCTGCAGCTCAGACACCGTTTTAGCAAACTTTGTCTCAGCGGTTTCAGGCAGCTGAGAGTAGAAACTCTGAGACATGCTCTTCATCCCCTCCTTGTACTTTTTCTACAATCAAAACAGAAAACAGGATCTGTAACATGGGATTAAGAAAAATTGCTTTAGAAATGTATCTAAAGAAATTATTAGAAGACACATCAACTTCTGACCAATCAGAGCCTTCTTTCAGACTTCATTGCCATTTTATTCAAAATAATTTGCTTAACACTGTCAGTATTTAACTGTGCTGCTTCCGTTCTGTCCTCCTGATTACACCCTGAGGACTTGGCTGTAAAGTACGATGAGTGAAACAGCACCCCTCTAAATGCCACACAGTGAGTCCAATACTCCCACAGGTCTGCAGTGGGCCGAGTTGGCTTTCCTTGATTAAAAGAAATAAAGTAAGGTTGAAGTCATACCAGTACCACACTGGGATTAGTCAGAGTTATGCTGGGGAAGCCAATCATCACTCCACTCAAATCACAGTGTGAACGTCACTGAATAACTGTTAGTCATTTCATCCTGCAAAGCTACCAACTGAAGTGTGGATGGGGGAGTTTATTGTTTATTAAATAGTTAACTAAACTAACTAATGACTTATTTTACCATCTACTGAGCTCATCACATCAGCAGTGCTAAGCTGGATTTGTCTGCATATGTCTTCACTTAAGTAATAGTTTCATCATGATCACACACAGCGGGGACAGCAGTCACAGGGTTTGTACCTCATGTTTAATACATGCAGGTTATTGATACTTCATGACATGATGTCTGATCATGTTTTGAATTAATGCTTCTTTCAGTCGTTATTAGAGTACTATTGTGGTTAGTTAACAAGAGATGCACCAGACCTGCATGTGTAAGGCATAATTTTATGTATTATGACAGCTTTAAGAATTGAATCTGCAGGTTGGTCTAAAGCAGCCGTGTCTCTCTGCACCTACTTGGCTTTGCAGGTCGGTGACCTCTCGGGCAAACTGGGTCTCCAGAGTATCAGGGAGCAGGTGGTAAACTGGACATGACAAGTACTTCTTCACAGCGTCTTTATATGAGACCTACATGACACAGAGACAAAATATAGACATTCACAAATAAACTTTCGTGATTTTTTTGTGTACCATTTTTAAAGTAAGCTTTACCACCACATGCTTCTTCTCAGTTTGCTAGTTTGGATCTAGCTTCACGGTTGAAAGTTCATGTTAACAAAAGTTTTTAGACTTTTGTTAACAGTTTTTAGTCATATTCCTGCATACCTGACTCTGTAGCTGGGAAGCCTCTTTAGCGTGCTGTGTCTCCAGAGTTTCAGGTAGTCGGTGGTACAGAGATGTCGATGTGTCCTTCTTACTGGCCTTTTTGTATTTTGCCTGAAAGACACAATTTGCACTGGAGATTTAAGTGCAGTTAGCACTAAAAAAATCAGTCATGTGCAGTTAACTCTACACCGAGGTTCCTACCTACCACAGAAACATAAAGACTATGAAAATGTATACAAATTATGTTTTTCTCTTCCACTTTCTTGAAGGTAGTGTTAGCCTAAATTAGAGGGCAACTGGCTGATATGGGGAGAATTCATGTGGGCGTTTGAACCTAAAAAATCTTGTGACAGTTGGGGGCTTATCCGGGATATGTTTGTAGAATTAGTTGCATCACTGTTAATAACCAACCTGGTTTGTTAACCTGGTTTGTTAAGCAAATAATAAATAGAGCTAAATATCTATATTTATTATTTGCTTAGCATTTGCTTAAAGCTACAAATATGGCTTTTATTTGGATACAGGCTGAGATGGTTGCCAGTTTTAGACTGATTATAATAAATTCCTGTAAATTACACTGACTATTTTAATTCTCCAGATGACGGTCATAAATACCTCCTCAGTGCCTTAATGAAATAAATACAATTCTGGTTCCTTCCTATATTATTATCTATAAATGTAAGAAATGCTGAAATAGGTCCCTAACATTTTGAATTGTAGTATATAAAACCAGACACTCGTGGTCTGACGTGCATTTACCTTAAAGTTGATCTATGGCTTATTTGGCCTATTTTATAGGAGCCAGACGTCATGAGAGCTCATGCATCTTGACTGAACTCAGTATTTAATTCAGCTAGAAATTGCAAATATAAAAGAAATTGTAAATATCACCACAATCTTACATTTAATCATATTTGCATAAAATCAGCATCATCTCTGGGTTATTCTATGAGACCTGACTGCACTTTGAATATTCAGAGCACTCACCTCGCTCTGCATCTCCGTCAGCTCTTTAGCGTGCTGGGTGTCGAGGGTGTCGGGGAGCAGAGAGTACAAGTTGAAACTCATCTCTTTCATATCTTCTTTGTACTTGACCTTGTAATGAAGCAAAGCAGAGCCAGCAGGATGAGAACAAAGAGTTCTTCATTCACACAGATATTTTTTATTATTACAGCAGGATCACATCATACAGACTTCTTGTCTATACAGGTCACATTTTATTTGAAAGCTTACTGAACTGATCACATAATAAATCTGGAGACTGAATTCTCTGTTGAAGGGGAGACAAACGGACTCGCATACCAGAGCTGATCGAGGTACTTTGTTCATTGATGATGAAAAACATTTCTACCTAAGAGCAGGTAGAAATCGTACCTCACTCAGCATCTCTGTCTGCTGACGAACAAACTGTGTGTCGTTGGTTTCTGGCATCAGGTGGTAAAGGCTGGGCCCATCTTTCTTTAAAGGCTGCTTGTACTTCAGCTAGAACAGATGTAGAAGAACATTATTTACGATGTCTTTAATCGCTTTAATAAGAACATCCATATCCTTTTCTGCACAGGAATCCAGTTACTACTTAATAGTAAAAGTCCTCAAAGTTTGCACCATGTGGGAAAAGCAATTCCTCTGTTTATATATACTGGTTTGGACCCTATGACTAAATGTATTGATACCTCTGAGACATTTGGCTGATGAGTGAATTGAGGTACCTGACTCTGCAGCTCAGAAGCCTCTTTAGCGTGCTGCGTCTCCAGAGTCTCAGGTAGAGTTGAATAGAGGGTGCTTGACACGCCCTTCTTTCCTGCTTCTTTGTACTTCATCTTAACAAAAAAGAAGAATGAATAAACAAAATATAGGGCAGATTTCTCCAAATAGACATATCTCAATTTCCAAAAAAGCTCCGTCTCCATCTCTGTCCTGCGCAACTACATTTATTTTGTCATTTTAACCACTGAACCAAATGTGAATCAAATAAAAGAGTGAGTGAAACATAGAGTTTTGTTCCATCTGCATAGATGTAATACGTTATTATCTTGTAAACCACACATTTAAACATTTGGACATAATTTGCAAGGACCCCTGGGAAGATAATGCAGATAACGTTTGTAGAGACATTTACCTCGCTCTGCAGCCCAGAAACTGTTTTTGCAAACTGAGTCTCAATGGTTTCTGGGAGCTGTGAGTAAAAACTTTGAGAGAGGTTTCTCTTCATAGCCTCCTTGTACTTGTTCTGGAAAAGATGGACAAGTAATGTAAAATATCCTGAAGGGTTTTAAAAGGACTGAATGCTGCACAACCAGCCTTGAGCTATGTTGGAGAAATATTCCGCTTCCAGGTCATAGTCATGTAAACACTACTGTGATATTCTGTCATAAATCTAAGACATGTAGAATATTCTGACACTGATAAAGTTTTGTGAGCACGTATGCAGCACATTTAGAATATGTGTTTTACATGGATTTGCAACACATACGTGAAAATCCACATACTGTATACAGCCTACAGCTGCTCACAAACCAACCAGTCTGTTGTTTGCAAGAAAAGGTATTAAAAACACGTCCCACAGTCCTTTGACACCCACATATACGGTCAAGATTTTTCAGAAGGTGGTTGAAGGAATAATAAACAGGCTGTTTTTGCACAGTCGAACAAGTCTGCCAACAGTAAAAAGCAGAGAAAATGGCCCCAACACCAACACTTTTTCACATTTAAATGCGATCATGTACATGTTAGAGGATCGTTAATGGTGAAAAACTCAGTTTTATTAGCTGTGTAACTAACTTAGTGGAAATATTGACTTTTTTGAAACTGTAATAAGTGAGAGGCAAAAATGTCACTTTTATCTGAATCCTTAAAAACAAATGTTTCCCATCTTCCGTTGCTTACAGATCAGATATTGTTATTAACTCCTCTCCAGTACGTGCTGCGAACAGCCTGCGATGCTTTGATCCTGTTTCTGATGCTAATCTGCCCTCTGATGAGCGTCTAAGGTAGAAGCATCAGAGAGCGGTGAATAATCTGGGTAGTGATTATTTATAACTAATCAAAGGGCATTCTTACTGCAGCTCTCTCTGCATTTCCCTATTTTTGCTCTCAGTTCTCAGTTGAAGCACAGCCTGGATCCCTCCTGCATGTCGAAGCGCTGCTGTTTATTCGATCTCTCTCCAAAATGTCAGGCAAACAAATGACGAGACAGCATATTTGACCTAATCTCACACAAGACTTTAAGATCGGGACGTTGTTTCGGACGATGACTTTCATGTAATGATAACCTGGAAACCAGCGAACGGGCTAACCATGACGTTTAAATCTGCGCATCAAGTATATTAAAACCAGGTAACTATAGCAACAGTACTGATGTGTCACGTTTCCATCCATTATCCAAACCCATCATTGATTTTTTAGTAAAAAGTGCATTTTCAAGTGTGGAGAAATCAACATCTTGTGCTCTACAGTGAGTATTTGTGGCATGTTGGACTGAGTCACACTAAACGTTTGACATGTAACAGGAAACACGTCAGCCTGTGCAGCAGCACGCGTCACTCTCATGTTTTTAAAAGCGTTTGGTGGGGAAGCACAAAGAACATCTTCTACTCTAATTTAGTTTGTTCTCTTATTTTCAGGAAAACAGAGAAATCCTTTTTATACAAACTAACTGAGCAGTTTTGAAGTCTCACAGCTTCTTTTTAGCCAAAATGTGCAGCCGAACTCTGTTGTCGTCAGCTCTGGGCAGTAAAATGTTTGCTCTATTGCTGCAACACAAACGTTTTTATCTTGTTTCCTGTTTTGATGACTTTCCGTCATATTTCTCTTCTGAAGTGGTTTTAGATTCTGCTCTGGTCATCAACAGGTGACTGTGGGATACTTTGATGGTTTATTTACCTCGCTCAGCACGTCGCTCATCTCTCTGGCAAAGCTGGTTTCTGAAGTGTCGGGTAGAGTGGCGTACAGCGAGCTGGACATCTCCTTCTTCCCGCTCTCTTTGTATTTTACCTGTGGAGCCAAAAATGTTTATCATGCTACATACTTTTACTCTCTGACAGTTTAGCTTGAATTGCCGTGTGCTGGTCGCACTTCTTTGTACTTCTTTGTACTTCTTTGTTTCTGTCACGCTCATTCCTTCCTGCCAACTGTTCTCTTCCCTGTCTTCATGTTTGCTCATTGTCACATATGAATCTTTTATTTGCTCCTAATCATCCCTCTGTGGATGACTAGTCGTCAGGTAATACTACAAGAAAACAACACATTACCTCACTCAGCAGCTCTGCAGCTTCTTTCGCGTGCTGCGTGTCCATGGTGTGAGGCAGGAGGGAGTACAGGCAGGCGTTCGCCTCCTTTTTACCAGCCTCCTTGTACTTGGTCTGCAATTTCAAATGAACCGTTAGCATCAGTGGTGGCTTGTGCATCACTCTCTGTAGCCTGTAGTTACTGCTTTACCCCACATGGAGCTAATCTTTGCCATTCATATGCTACGCTGCTGCCCGGACAGGTTGAGTAGTTATCTTGGTGCACGTCACACACAAAGCACAACAGTTGAACATGGAAACAACAGAATTAGTTTTAATGCTGCCTGCTGTTTACCGGTGTTTTAAGACATTTGCACATTAGGAGTAGATTCTGAACAGATTGTTATTTATGGATTTTGTTGGGTTTCCCCAAAGTTTGATTCTGTTCATCTGGACGTTTTCAGTGGGAGAAACGTTTCACTCATCTAAGTGACTTCTTCTGTCTCAGCTGACTGCAGGTTGCAAAAGAGTCAACACTGGCCTGAGGGAGGGGGGTTTAAAGCTACACTGAATAATAAAATAACAACTTATTCTTGATAACAAGCAGGCACAAATTTCAAGCCTTTCCTGTTTGAGTGCCGACCTCACTCTGCAGCTCAGACAGCTGTTTGGCCAGCTGTGTCTCTGTGGTCTCTGGGAGCCGATGGTACAAACTGCTCTGAATCTTCTGCTTCAGACCTTCTTTATATTTCACCTGCAGGAGATGAAGAAGAAACACATGTTTTTTTTTTGTCCAGATTTCAATGGATTAGATTTTTTTGTATTATTTAACAAACTGAGGCCAGACGTCTGTTTCGTGGTTTACTCCACACTTCAACTCACTGGACTTCAGATCACACAAAGATCTGCAGTCTTCTATGTTCAAACATTCATTTCCCTCATTTTTTTATTTGGTGTGAAACACTTTGTAATATTTATCCTGATAAATAAAATCGCACCTTTACTTTCTTATTCCTACTTTTCTCTTTCTCATAAATTATTATGTGTACTCTTTTTTTAATTCGGAGTACTGCATACACAGGTTGTTTATCTTGACTGACGATGGAAAGAAAAAGCCATTAAAATGGGATTAAAGTACCTCACTCTGCAGGTTCGACACCTCTTTGGCGTGCTGTGTGTCGATGGTCTCGGGCAGCAGAGAGTACAGGTTGATGTTCATCTCCTTCTTACCGTCTTCTTTATATTTCACCTAGAAAAAACATTTGATTTAATCGGCAGCTTCTGCCCTTTAAAGTAATTCTTGGTTTTTTTTCTCTTCTATTTACCTCACTGAGCAGCTCGGAGACTTCCTTAGCGTGAGCCGTCTCTAACGTCTCTGGCAGGAGGTGGAAGAGGCTGCAGGAAAGAGTTTTCTTCTGGTCGGCCTTGTAGTTCAGCTGAGCACAAACAGGATCACATGCAGAGTATCAAACTGTCAGTGATGGTGAGCAAACTTCTAACATTGAACATTGTTCCTCAGGGTTCCACATCTGTCTGCCCAATGATGTGAACTATTCAAACCAGCTAACTGAACTCCTGCAACCTTTAGGATCCAACAAACACAAAATTGAACGACTATTTTATTCATTTTTATTTCATTTGAACTCATAACTGTATTTGAATTAATCAGCTGTTTTATGTATCGTGTACGCCTGCTCTGCCTCAGTGCTATTTACAGTAAATCCAAATATCTGTATGTACTGATAGATGTGTATGTATAGTCTACAATCACAGCAGTGAAGGGTTTTACCTCGCTCCGCACTTCAGAGGCTTCTTTGGCGTGCAGCGTCTCCAGAGTCTGCGGCAGGGTGGAGTACAGAGAGCTCGACACGTCTTTCTTCCCCTTTTTGTACTTCATCTGAAAATAATTTGACGAAATTACACTTTTGATTTTCTAACAGTTCAAGGAACAGACTTTGACAGTAATTCATTAAACACGACCTCAGTGGCCTTTCAGTTTGCATCTTCTATAGTTAAACGGACTTTTTGAATCTCTGTGATCTGCATCAGTGGGTTAAGTTCAGTTTAATGTTAAATTCACAAAAATATTAAAATTTCAACATCCACAATATCAAATAAACACTCTGTATATTTCCTATAGTGGTTTCTAGGCTCATGCTGTTTAAAGTCACTTCTAATGCAACAGTTCTTCCTGCTGTTGTTTCACATTAAAAGACTTCAAATGGAAAAATACAAGATGGCTTTTATTTTGAAAGATTCATGAGGTGGACAGACAAAAATAATATTGATATTGAGAGTTGAACTTTTCTTTACTGTGTTGTCTGTTAGTGTGATTAACACAGACTGATGAGGAATTACTATAAACACAAACATTGTTTTCTCTTCTTCTGTGTTTGTGACGCTGCTTTGGGAGGAAGAATAATTGTATTTTTAACTGTGACAAAACTGAAATGTTAAAAATGTTCATTTTGCTGCTTTAGAATCTGTCGTAAATGTTTCATTTCTGCTACTTCAAGAGGAAGAAGTTGTTTTCTGCCGTGAATCAGCTGAAAACATTTCCCATAAAGACACCCGTTCCTCACCTCGCTCTGCAGCGCAGCAACATTTTTGGCAAACTGCATCTCGGCGGTCTCTGGTAGCTGACTGTAGGCACTCTTAGACAGGCTCTTCATCCCGCTCTCTTTGTATTTAATCTGTTAAAAGACAGCACATCAAAAACAGGAAGAGTTACTTCCTTCTATTCAGTGATGAACTCTTCAGATCTATTAGATATAAAGGACTCGAGCATCTGTAAGGCATACGGATTAGCCACACTTCTCTCTGTATTTATTTCTCTTTGTTGTCGTTTGCTTTTTCATCACTTGTGTTAAATGAACGCATATTTGTGCTTTCACAGATCAATAGTGACAGCGAGCCGAGCCTCGGCAGTGCAGACTGTATCTGTAATGCTAATTAAATGCAGCAGTGCAGATAAACCAACTAACGATGAGCTGACACGAGTGTCTGTGCAGGAACTGGAGACCTGATGCTGCTCCTGTTTCAGCCTCTTTACATGCCGTCCTGTTTATTTTACGATTCACTGACTGCTGCTGAGATAAGTCTTTGATAAACCTTTGACCTGTGCCCGCCGTAACGTGATCAGCTACGTCGGCCCCTGTGCTTTGATCAGAGCTGATGTTACTGTGAGTATGCCTTTTTAGATGCTTCTTTAACTTTTCCTGCATTAAATCCTATAAGTCAGTTTTTCTCAGTCGTTTTTCAACCTGATGGTTTTTATAAGATTTGCTTTAATTTCCTGCCCAGTCAGGCTCATTGTCATTAATTACAGATGATAATAGCTGTGATTACTGAAGTTAAAAACACACCATGTTTGATTAAAAACCAATTAAACTTCTAGTCTGAGCCCCTGATTTGGTAAAAACACGAGTTTTAGCTTCTTAATTATTACTCAGACTTTATTTCCTTCAGTTTTATTTCTGTGAAATCTCGTTGTGTTCTTCACTTTTGTTCTCATTGTCGGGTGTTTTCTGCAGGAACCTCCGGCGAGCTTCCTGTGACGTCTTCATTTTCTGTGTTTCTAAACGATCGGCTTTCCTCTCTCTGCTGTTTTCTCAGCAGCCTCAGCTGCAGAGTTTTCCCTCCATCACTCTCACTCTAGTGCATAGAGTGATGGGCGTCTACACTAAATGCTTTAAAGGCGTGGCCTTATTATTTAAATTATGCTGACATGTGCACTTTTATAAATAAATCTGTATTGAACTGCAATTAACTGAATGCTTCATATTTCTATGATTCACAGTTCAAAATAATACTTTTTTCTCTGATACTGGGCTTTTTGTGGGAGGCCCTCCGGAGCAAACCTCCCTCTGATTGGCTGCCCTTTGTAAACAGAGGGTTTGCACAGCAGGTGGGTGGGGCTTCTGTGCTCACAGCTGACGACACATGGGCCAAAAGATTAAAAAAAGAAAAAAACAGCCTGAAACTGGGTGTTTAGAGCTTTCTGAACTTTGACCTTTGACACACTGACCTCTCTCACCTAACTTGAACCTGTGAGCAGGCTAAGCATGAACATCCACCACTGTGCATGTGACAGAAATTCACATGAAAGCATGAAAAGTCCACGTGAACAAATCAAGCAGTTTCTGAGATTCTGCAGACAAACTGTTTGTTTTGCCACAGAGCAGAGATGTGCAGACAGCCTCCATTTGTCCGTGTGGCACATTCACACTGAGGTTTTTATTCAGAGAGAAGAACTGTCACATCACTGTTTTTGTTTTTAGGTTATTTTTCAGTGTGATGAGACTCAGGTTCATAATCAGAGTTTGTTAAAAAAGAAAAGAAGAAGAAGAAAAGCTCAACCTCCCAAAAACGACATGCTTTATCATAACTGATGGGAGACTGGAGCAGAGGTCATGACATCACATTTACCTCGCTCAGCATGTCGCTCATCTCTCTGGCGAAGCTGGTTTCTGAAGTGGCGGGCAGAGTGGAGTACAGCGAGCTGGACATCTCCTTCTTCCCGCCCTCCTTATATTTAATCTGGTTAAATCCACAACAGGAAACACGAATAATCTTCACTCGTTGGATCTATTTTCTCATGTCAGAGCAACACAAACTGAAAGGCTGCTCTCACCTCACTGAGCAGCTCTGCGGCCTCTTTAGCGTGTTGTGTCTCCAGAGTTTCAGGCAGCAGAGAATACAGGCATTCGCTCGCCTTCTTCCTTCCATCTTCTTTATATTTCACCTGCAGACGTCAACAAAAACGAACAAATATCACTTCTCAGTAAACGACGGCCATCACTGTGACACTCCTCAGGATCGATGCGAATCAATCAAAGTGTCTCTGTGAAAAAGGCGACGGAGAAGAAAAAGTGGGATCAAATTAGATGTAGCTTTTTTAATGAAACGAGAATGAGACAGTCACATAGTCACATAACCAAACCCATATGCATCATATTATTAGACAATGCCTCTCTTCTTTGCACCTCCGACAGCACTGATGGATAACTGCAGCTGATCCCGTCAGCACCGTGCGTCCTGCCGTACCACAAAACCTGCGGGAAAAGCTCCAAAGATATAAACGAGTCCACGGCGCTGGCCTCGCCTCTGGTGCCTCTGCTGGATGCATCAGAAAGCACGGGACCCAAAGGATCCAGTGCCAGTGTCCTGTGCCAGACACCACACGACACCCCAGAGATCCCGTCATCATGCTCCGGTGGGTCAGAGCTGCTTGAGCAGCACTAAACACAGAAAGCAATAACTGTCTGGTCCAGATGTCCCGTATTTACAGTCTCCTTTGGGCTTTGACCAACACATTTGATCCAGCATCTGCCTCACACGTGGCCCACAAAGTCCAGCCAAGTCGGAGACTTTGAGCCGACACGTCACTCAGACTAAACCCAGACGTGTCCTCAGTCTGGGACAGGAGCTGTTAGTGAGAGTCCTCTGAATGACTTCAACAAACAAGAGATGACATGAACTATGACTTGAATCATCAGGCCGTCAGTGATCATGTTAATAGAAACTACAGTTCGCACTCTACTGTTGGAGCGCAAGCTTCAAACGATTGAGGAGTGAAGCAGCTCACTCTCACAATGCAGCGGTATATTTAGCACAAGCCTCTTCATTTTTTAATGAAAATTCGACTTCACGCTGCTGCGCGGCTGATGCTCACTCGCTGTTACTGCGACATCTAAAAAACGAGTGGAAAACAGATTCTTTTCAGCTCTAATTCACATTTTTACACATCAGTATCACGTCTAAGTTGCTTTTCCATTTTTCAGCTTTGATTCTCTGTCACTGAGTAAATATTGATTTAACTGAGAAATGAGATTTGAAATGATTTATTCAGTCTGTCAGGGATGTGAAAAGGTTTTTTCCTGCCACAGTTCAAGGAAAGACCCAAAGACTGAGAGCACAAGATGAAAGGATGGTTTTCATATCAAGAAAACAGGAAGTGCTGCACTGAAGTAGCAGGAAAACCAGAGTCGTCCGAATGTAAGGAGCCAGAACCGAACACAGAGGAGCGTGTCACCGAAAGTGCAGCAGCCGTGTCATGTTCTGGTGGACGTGGACGCTCATTTGGAAGTCAAGCTCAAATATCTGACAGCCTCACTGATTAAAGGCTCCGTTTTTATTATTTTTCTTTCACTTTGAAACACTCCTCGCCCTTATTTTTGCTTCAAATCTTCTTTCTTACCTCAAACATCTTTCTTAGTCATACTTTAACAACAGTAAACATGTCATCGTGTGCCGTGTACCTCACTCTGCAGCTCAGACAGCTGTTTGGCCAGCTGTGTCTCTGTGGTCTCTGGGAGCCGATGGTACAAACTGCTCTGAATCTTCTGCTTCAGACCTTCTTTATATTTCACCTGCAGGAGACAAGACGAGGCTGAGTTCAACATTAAAGCTAACACAGTTTAAAGATGGCTGAAGAACAACACAATGATCCTTGATAATCGTATGATGATCATATAAATGTCTTTTTTACTAATAGTCTTACTCAGGTTTAAAGTTTTTTTTAAAAAACCTGGTTGTTGGGTACCTCACTCTGCAGGTCTGACACCTGCTTGGCGTGCTGGGTGTCGATGGTCTCGGGCAGCAGAGAGTACAGGCTGATGTTCATCTCCTTTTTACCGTCTTCTTTATACTTCACCTGTGATCACAGCAAAGTTCATCCACACAGAAAATACTTCTACAAAAATCTGCACGTTTCTCCTGAAATGATCCCAAATGTTACTGAAATAACTCGAACTACAAAATATCATTTAATTAAATAAGTCCAAAAAATCTCCACCTACAGATGTAATTTATTGCAACATTTCTCTGGCTTTGTACAGTTCCTGTACCTCACTGCACAGCTCCGACACCTCCCTGGCGCGAGCCGTCTCCAGCGTTTCCGGGAGCAGAGCGTACAGAGACGAGTTCACGCCCTTCTTCCCCGACTCCTTGTAGCGCCTCTGAAAACAAAGACAAATGTTAATCCAGCGTCAGCTCATAAAAGCCTTCAAACACGAACAAACATGAAATATAAATGTGCAGTAAAAGTCCACGTCTGTGCTCACAGGTACAACCTACAAAACTGTCGGGAAGCTAACTCCAGGTATCTATGTGCAACTTTCAGAGGTCAAAAAAGACAAATACGTGTTTCTGAGTAATTAAAAAGAGAAATCCAAGAGCAACACAGGACTGTTTATTTTTTAGAAAGGTGCAAAATCAGGTGCAGAGGTCCAGCGCTTAACAAATAAATGATCCCCCTCCTCACAGCTGACCTGAATTAACACTGTTGGTAAATTTTAATGTTTCTGTAATTGTTAATCCATCAGCATTCACAAACAATTTAATTAAAATCATATTTTTTATGTCAAAATAGAATTATTGTTGTTATCCAGGAAGTAAAGCAAGTTAGTTTAACCTCCTAGGACCTGGCGTCCACATCACATTTTGGGTTATTTAGACCAAAATACTCAATTTTGCTCTACAAGGGCCTGATATCCACTTACGAGGACATTATACTGCTACTGTTCTATCAAAGTTTTAAACGAATATCATCATATGTGGCTCTGATTTTCATAAAAACAAAAATAAGGTAAATTCTTTGTTTTTACATTCATCGGGCCCCAATCAGCCCAAATATCAAAGAGAAATTAAAAATGCTGCCGTGGAAGAGTTCAGGTCTTAAGATGAAGTGACAGTAACTCTGTATTTACTGAACAGTTTGTTTCAGTGGTTGATTGTTATGCTTGATTCATGTGTCTGACACACAGAGGTCCAGTGTGAAGACTCAGATCTGGGTCCAAAATTGAGAATTCAGTTTATTACATGTCTCATAAATAACAATATCATTTTCAGTTTTAAACAACTTTGTGACTGATTCCTAAAATATTTGTGTTTCCTCATTTTAATGACAGGTGGGCTAATAAATTGTTATCTCTGCACCAACTGATTTATGTGAAATGTTCAAATAATCTGCACCAAGAAAAAACAGGAAAACTGAAAGAGGAAAGTGTGCGACAGTGTGGACCTTCCCACTGGTGTTTATTCCACCCATATAGACACAGAATGAGACTTTTCATATTTCAGTAAATGCCTTCTGCTTAATTTAAAGGGTGCATTGAGCAGCGTTACAGGAATAAAACTTTGCCCACAGCTTTAATGCTGGTTTCTGTAAAACCACAGCGGCACCACCTCAGGGGACAAACTGCACTCATAAACATACAATGAGGCACTTTATTTTCCCACAGTGTGCACGTGAAACAACTAATTTTCCCTTTTTATAACTAATCACGCACGAGTTGTGATTATATCTGCACACGTAGCTGTGAGGCTGGCTCACCTCGCTCTGCAGCTCAGCAACTGTTTTAGCAAACTGGGTCTCGGCGGTTTCTGGGAGCTGAGAGTAGAAACTCTGGGAGAGGCTCCTCCTGCCGCCCTCTTTGTACTTACTCTGAGGGGAGACAACACAAAATAATGCATCAGATGTTCATGGTGGACCTGTGGGGATCCTGTGAGTCACTAATGTAAAAACACAGAACAGAGTCTTGTTGTTTTTAATGTCTTATATGAATCTATCAAAGGAAACTTCTTCTTCTGCTCCTCATTCAACGCTGTGAAAACAAATGGGAACTTTCAGGTCTCGAGAATATTTCTGACATTTTGCTGCCGAGTCCGACAGCACGAGAGCTTGTGGAGAGTTTCAGCCTGTTTGCACACAGTATGTTGTAAAGGTGCGCCTGTGTCGTACCTCGCTGTGCATCTCAGTCATCTCTCTGGCAAACTGGATCTCTGTGGTGTCGGGCAGCTGCGAGTAGAGAGAGGCGGGAGCTCCTCTAACCATCGTCTTAGGGCGATAATTCACCTGGGACAGAGAGCGAGTGATGAGAGGCTGAGCTCAGGGATAAAACAGAGAAGACGACAACAGCAAAAAACAGAACGATTTCAGAAAAAGAGCCATCTGTTCAAACTCTGAGCCTCTGCTGCTCGTTCAGTAACGCCCGGGATGGCTGCGAGGCCTTCCTTCTTTCCATCCTTCCTTCCTTCCTCTCTCCTTTCCTTACTGTTCCTTCTTTTGTTGCTCTGCTTTCTTTCCTCGTCTTTCCCATTCTCCTTTCCTTTCCATCTTCTCCTCGCCGTTTCCTTTCTTATGCCCTATCTTCCTTCTTTCTTTCTCGTTCATCCTTCCTTCCTCATCTATCTTTTTCTTCCTCTCTTAATTTAGTTCTCTTTATTTTACTTTCTCACTTTCTTTCTTCTTCTCTTCCTTTCTTTCTTCTTTCCTCTCACCTGTTTCCTTCCTGTCTTTATTTCTTTTCCTTTTCTCTCTCTTTTTTCCTTTCTTCATCTCACCCTTCCTCTTTCATCCTTCCTTCTATCTCTTTCTTCCTCTTTAGTTTCAGTCCTGTCTTTATTATTTTCTTCCACTTCCTTTCTTCTTCTCTCACCTTTCTCTTTTTTTCTCTCTCTTGTCCTTTCCATTCTTCCTTCTTTCCTTCCCTCTATCTTTCCTTCATGTCTCACTGTCAACTTTGGTGTAATTTTGCTTTTTCTTTGCTGTTTCTAAAAATGTATGTTACATATTTTGTTACATTTGCATTCACTCAAATCTGAAAGACCGAAGGTAGAAATGAGTCTCGAGCAGGCGCATTTAATCTTGCACTGACAGATATTTGTAAAAGAGGATCATGGATACAGTTTGTGTGTGTGTGTGTGTGTGTGTGTGTGTGTGTGTGTGTGTGTGTGTGTGTGTGTGTGTGTGTGTGTGTGTGTGTGTGTGTGTGTACCTCACTCTGCAGCTGTGACACCTCCAGAGCGTGCTGTATTTCTGGAGTATCAGCGAGCTGGGAGTAGATGGAGATGGAGGCCTTCCTCTTCCCGTCTTCTTTGTACTTTTTCTGAAACAGAACGACATCAGAACCAATCAGAATAGACCAGGAAGTAACAAGACACAAACTAGTAGCTCTTTACAGATTAACTTTAAAGTCAGTGTGGCGGACGTCTTCCGAGCTCTACAGCTGCATGAATCTGCCACAGTCAGCGTGAGCAGCTGTGATACGGGCTCAGCTGAAACATGTTGACACAGAGCTGCTGTACAACAGCCGAGTACCTCGCTCTGGAACTCGTGGACGGTCTTGGCGAGCTGCATCTCGGTGGTTTCGGGAAGCTGAGAGTACAAACTGCTGCTCATCTCCTTCTTTCCCTCCTCCTTGTACTTGTTCTGAGGAGCAGAGAGAGTTTCAGAGGGACGAGCGGTGCTGACATAACACTTCATTCACTCATCTTCATTTATTTTCCATTTTAACATTTAGTCTCAACAATCCATCCGTCGGGTCTGACCTCGCTCAGTATCTCAGACAGCTCTTTGACAAACTGGGTCTCTGTGGTTTCTGGCAGCAGAGAATAAAGGGACGAGGAAATCTTTGTCTTCACGTTTCCTTTGTATTTAATCTGAAAAACAAACACACGCGACTGTCAGTGCTAAAGCCAATGAAACATTTTTAATGGGAAATTTAACGGTCTTGTGTTCAGAGTTTCAGTCATAGTTTCTATGAGAACGCTGTAAACATGGCTCGTGTGGAGAAACTGACTAAAATCTGGCTGTGCTGAAGTTGAACTACCTCGCTCTGCAGCTCTGAAGCCTCTCTGGCGTGTTGCGTCTCGGGAGTCTCCGGCAGGATGGAGTACAGCGAAACAGCCGCCTCCTTCTTCCCCTCCTCCTTATACTTAGACTGAAACAGTCACATTTCAGCACAATGAGCAGACAACTCGATCAATGTTTAAAAGAGAGAGAACGAGTCATCGTAGGGCCAATTTTAGACCGTAAAGATGAGGAAATGTTAGACAAAGACAGCAGATCTGGCCTGGTCCTCACTTAACATTGAAGCACAAGTACGATGTGTGTCAGACCTCAGAGATCACAGCGCTGATGTTCTTGGCGTGGATGAGTTCGGCTCCGGGAACAAACAGACTCTGTCCCTTCATCTTCTCGAAGTCTTCTTTATATCTGACCTGGAGGATGAGACACGAGTGTTAACGTGTTTCTGAGCCGAACTTCTCGTGAACTTGAGCTGCGTCCCCACGAGGACCGTGTGATGTGTTTTTCAGCCGTGCAGACGTTTCATCCCTTCAGGTTGTGAGTTTCAGAATCTCTCTCTGCTGCCTACCTTTTAATTAGCATCAGAGGATTGAAATACATTAACTGCATTATGTAACTTACACTGGGGATCACTGACAGCACAAGCCGACCCCGTTACATGAACTCCAGGTGAAGTATCACTGCTACACCTTCTCCTGATTGGCTCCTGCCTGACTGAGCTCTCCTCTCTTCTGTTTGGTATTAGGTTTTATCGGGTGGGCGGGGCTTGTGTGTCTCCAGAGCTGCGTGGGCTCTCCAGAAAGCTGATTAATTGGTTGTACGTTTGGGGAATTTTGTGGGCTTTCACCATTGTTGTATACATATACGTATAAGTTTCATTATTTAATGGTTAAACAATGAAACTTATATCTACAGTTACTCTGGATGTCTCTTAATTTCTGGATTATTCTCAGTTTTATTCTCTGTTCAACAAAACAAGCTGCTTTTATTAACTTCATGATCCCAGACTGATTAAAACTATGCAAACTCTCTGTATTCTGGTGCTTTGCTAATGAAGTGACCTGCAAATAGTTCACCATATATTTTCACAATGTGCAGTTTGGTGTTTGTCTGAATCTGATTGGATGTTCGGTCCAATAACAGCCTGGCAGATTTTCTGTAGAGACTCTGGAGAAAAATGGAATTAATCCACAGACGACAATCTGTCACAGCCAATCTGTGACAGGAAGTCAGTGTGGGCAAAAAGCGACAGGTGCTTAAAGTACTAAATACAGCTTCGATGGCTTCTAACCAGGAACACGCGAGGCCGACTTCAGACTCAACACAAATAAGCAGAACAACACGTTCTCAACACCTCGACACAAACCAACGCTTGGTCAGACACCTATTCTCACCATATTTTTAATAAAGCGGCTCTCAAACAAGACAAACATAGTTCAGCCTCCAACAATTTTCTTCATTATTTATTATTAAAAATAGAAAAGGATGAAAGTTGAGTTTAAAGGAAATAAAGGTGAGCACAGTGCAGTCAGCAGACTCCTGTTTGTACACTGTTCTTACAAAACTTCCACAGCCGCTGTCCCGAGGGAAGGGGGGGACCATTAATCCTGTTTCAGTTTATTTACACCTCATTTTATGGTTTTTAAAACTCATCCTTTTGCTGTTGTTCGATCAGGTTTAGCCATTACTTAGTTAGAGTTGGGGTTACAATACACTCCTACACCATGTTAAGCTTCTCAGACACGTCCTTGGTTACCGAGGTTAACCAAAGCCCCATTGGCTACCTGAGGCTTGCTATAAAAGTGAGCCAGTCTCCATATGGGATGGCTGTGGCTCAGGGGGTACAGCAGGCTATCTACCAACTGGAAGGTTAATGGTTTGAGCCCCGCCTCCTCTAGTTTTGCCCCTGATGTGTTCACTGAAGTACAAAAGTGTGATTGTTAGTTTAAAAGTGTTTAGATGTAGAAGTTGAAGAGTAGAAAAGCATTATTAGTTCTAGTCCATTAGCCATAAACGTCAGTATTAAACTGTAAAGCAGAACATTTTGTGCTTTCTTGGGCACATTTAACCTTTCATAACATCTGCAGAGAAACTTCTTCTATTCTTAGGGCTCAGTGCGAGTGGTTGGACCTAGCAGCGGTAGCTACATCTATATTTTAGATATGGTCTGATAAATGTAGCTGTCTTCCTTCAAGTTATAGAATCAACCAAAGAAAAAAAATCTGATTTTTTCCACCATCTGTTGTGCAAATTCATTAAGATTCTGCCGAAGGATGGCAAAGTCATTAGTGTGTGTTACACCTCTTAAAAGGATGTTTGAGGGCAGGTTTTCTCCCATGTAGAGAGCGGCTGGAGGAATAAAAGTGAAAATGATTTCATCAGGTGGGTTGAGTTGCTTCCACTGTAGCTGATGACTCATTCTGCTGTTGCTAACAGCCAAGCTGCCAAGTTTGTCTCACACCAGGGAATCAATATCTCGCCCTCCCACATCCAACAGTAACATTCAGCCTCATTCAGCGTTTTACTCCAAAAGGCTGTTTTAGAAGTCAGAAAGCATTTTTTCTCCTTTGAGTATATTTTCTCTGCGTGTTGAATAAAGGGCAGCGCAGCACTTTGGTTACCAATGGCAACGCTCTTCGTGCTGGAAGAGAGGATGACACATTTCTGTCTTACGCCTCGAGAAGTTCACATTTTATTCATGAGTTACAAATCAGGCGACGCAAACAGCAGCAGGTGTTACGCACCACGTCGGACTTCACCGTGATGACATTTCAGCCCGAGAATTTAGCCGAGCTAGCAGCATGACATCAGCAGAGCCAACTGGGACCCCAACGGCTATTCTGCTGGTGTAGCCTGTCAGGCCTCTGCTGTGGGTGGTGCATATACGAGCCGAAGTTTCCACTTTTGCTTTTCTGTGACGGGAACATTTACAATTGCAGAGGCATTTAATCTTAAATCACATGATAATCATTGTCTGCATTTCTAAGCAGTCTGCTTAGAGAGATGGGAACATGATGACAACACTTTGTGTCATTATGTTCCCAACTGTCACATTGACAGCCATGAAACATTTCACAGATATTCACATGATCCTCTCTCAGAACTGAATCAATGATTTCAGAGGGCTGAAAACTGGAACATTCAGGAGCTCCCTCACTGCAGTGAACCTCATTAGTTCTGTTGAAATTAGCAGAATGATGTTGAATTAGATTTGAATATTTTGGCAACTAGTGCATGATTCTTTCTGCAAAAAGCAAAAACAGAGCAATAGCAATGGCCTCCATTTCCCCCGAAGATATTTAAAAAAAACGAATAAACAGGGTTTTTCTTTTTTAAAGATGAGGCTCAGTTGTGCTGTTGGTAATACAAAGAGTTCATGTGGGCAACAAAGTATTTCAAGGAAAGATCCTGTTGATTCGTACACTTCTCAATGTCACTGGACAGGAGCGTCGATCGGATCAACGGTGGAACGTCACCTGGTACATTTACTCAAGTACAGTTTTATTGTTCGTGTAATGTATTTGAGCATCTTTATGTTCTGCTGATTTTATTTCTAAAGCAAGTATTTGAAACTTGAAAAAAAACCTGACCCTTGAACTATATTTTAATGCAAACATTGTGCTTTCTATTCCAAAACATTAGTTTGAAAGGTTTACTTACTTCTGATTTGTACATTTTAAAATATAGATCTACTATTGTAATTATGAATTACAGATCAAACCACCAGGCAGTTTATAAGTTCATAAAATCCTCTCCAGCTGCCTAAGAAGGAGAAAATGACGACATTATAGCTGCTGCACGCCGTTAGCGTGTTAGCGCACACGTGTGTTTGTGCATGCTGCTCAAACTAACTTACAGTGCTTACACTAAGTGCAGCATCACAGAGCTGTAGACACAACTGTAGACAATAAGCATGAACGGTGACATTAAAATAATGAGGTGACACTGAATGAACTCACGTCACTGGCGAGCAGGCTGCACCTCCTGTTAAACGCCGGGTCTGGCAGCGGAGGCTTCCCGTCAGACGAGGCCTGAAAAACACGAGACGATATATAAGAATAATTCTGACATTATATAGACAGAAACCAGGAAAAAACATTATTATCCTTGGATGTAGGAAAATTCCAGCATTTACATGAGTGGCCATTAAGCCTTTAAGACCTACCATAGAACCAAGTCCGCCAGAGCTTATATTATATTTTTACATGCTGTGGAGCCATTTTTGGGAGCATTTCAAGTTGCTATACATCAATACAACTGTTATAGCCCATATTTTAATAATATGTCTGCATTAAGTCCATAGTATCTACATAAATGCAAAAAAGTGCAACAAACTACAAAAAAAAATTGGAAATCGTTTTTGTGGGTTTTTTTTACATACATTTCTACTTATCCCTCAAAACCTTAAATACAAAAAAAGTTGCAAAAAATAGTTTCCAACAACAGGAAATTTATTTTGAGTGTCTTCTTAGTTTTATTTTTGACATACACCAATTTTTATATACTGCAGAATAAATGAAAATAAATCCTATAATGCAAATTTGCAAAGAAACCAGCAGGTGCATCAAAATAAACTATTTAAAGCAGTGCAATCTGAGTTCTAAGCATCCCAGAAACTATTCAGAAAAGCATGAAGTCAAACATGACTTATAAAAACACCAGTATAGGCTTTTAAGGCCTATAAGTAAAAAAAACGTCATTTTCCGCGAAAATGATGTCACTTCCGGTTTCGGACAGGTAATGGCGGACATGCGGTAGTTCGCACTGACGTCTATTTCAATGTAGGAAGTGTTACAAACAGCTGATCGGATCGGCAAAGCGTGTTTCTGGAATATTATGTTTTTGTTCCTGCAAGTGCTTTTTATGCAATGTTTGCAAAGCTATATGTGGAAGGAAACCGTGACTGAGGACAAGCTGGAGGCATAAGATGTAAGTACAACTCCTCTGGTTTCATATGCAAAAAAACATTATTGCGCTAGTTTACGTGGTTCTGGTTCTACAGGGGTTTCAAAAATAGTCGGAGCGTGCCCGCCCGGCTTTAAAGGGTTAATGCTAAAACTAACAGGAAAAATGCAGGTTTGATGATTTTATTTTTAGATGAAATCAGTTTTGCATCCATTGTTTGGGAAAGATTTTAAAAGCAGACAAGCCTGAGTGAAGACCATTAAACACAGTATCCAACATTTCATTTGCTTCTCACACACCTACATGATAACGTGGAAACGCTTATAAACAACATGTGGTTTCAGGACATTCGGCTGTCATGCCTTTGCTTTATTTCACTTTTTCAGATGTGACTTTATGATGTCACATGGCACGGAAAATGGTCAGAGTCAGACACACGGGTCAGCTGTCCTCATGCAACCTCACAGCACAAATGAGAGCAACATTAGGTAGAAGTCTAGTGTCCTTCATGACACCTCTGCATGTTACCAGGCTGCAGACAACATGTTGAGCATAGAGTTTATTCATGCAGGTCAAAGAGTCAAGATCAGCCACAATCATGCCAAATTAGCTGATCTCTACAATTCTAATTGCTAATGTTTTACTGCAAGCCTCTTTGCAACCCCACCATCCACTCCATGGGTATAAAACAGCAATGGAAGTCCAATGAAAAGAGCAATAAAGTCTTCCTGGCTGAAGTAGAAACTGATGGACTGACTTCACTAATGATCCAGAGCAACAGAAAGCTTTGAGTCAACCAGTGGAAACTTCCCTAATTCATGCACTGTTAATCCTTTGACTTTCTTAACAGGCTGTATTCAGCCCCCCAAAATCCCACTATCCAAGGCTAATAATGGCACATTTTCATTTGTAGTTTCACTAATCCTCTCTAAGCCTTTATAAAAACCTGCAGTGCCAGACAAAGGCCCGCGCCAAGGTCAACTGAAAGACTCCCACTCAGAGCTTAGAGGTGTGGGGGTGTGACTCCTCTTAACAAAATTTGCTGCTCTACAGACTTCATCAAAGAACGGGAAGATTCTCAAAGTGTTTGGTAGTTTGGGAACATGCTGCTGTAGTTAACAGGGAAATCAGTCAAAGAATAACCAAATAAGCACAACTTTTATGGAGATCTCCTGCTGCCTCCAGAAGCTGTTTCTCTCTGCAGAACAATTATGTTTGTTCTAATTAGACTGATGTTAAGACCATTAAGATTTGTAAAGAGATCAGATTTATCATGGAGGCTTTCTAACAATAGAAAATGGTGGGAAACTTTATTTATTTTCTCTCTTTTATGTTTGATGAGATGAGAGCTACACAAATGTAACTCAGGGAAGCAGAATTTAGCCCTTTTTCCTGAAAAGCCTTGAAACTATTTTAAGATCCTCTTTGGTGTGAGCAGCAGGCTTCGTGTTCTCCCAAACGTTTCTGTGCTGTGATGAATTTCCTTCTGTTTTGAGTATAATTAAAGGACAAATCCAGGTTTGTAAAAGTTTCATCTCCTCATTTTGTGTTTGATGAGTTTGTTGTTTCTGATAGAGTTTATAAATCAGTCAAATTTCGAGGTTCTCACCTCTGACTCCCACGACACCAGCAACCTCTTTGCTTTTGTATCCTCATCTTCATCCTTTTCCTTTCCACCTGCCTCCACCTTTGCATCATCATCTTCCTCCTCCACTTCCTCTGCTGTATTATGACTTTCAGCCTCTTCATGCAGACCTTCAGCAGTTGTATAAGCAACCGTGCCCACAGTGGTCGCTGATGTTACTGTGGACTCCTCTTCATTTTCCTCCACTGTCACCACCTTTTTTGTCTCTGCAGCTGAAGCCTCCTCATTCTCCACCTCGGCCAGCTCTGAGGGAAAAAAGAGTTCATGTTGAACTCCAGAAGAAATAAACTTGAAATTATATTTATTTGTAAACACACAACAGGGACAAAAGGTAAAAAATGACAAAAGAAACACAAACATGATACCAAAGGTGGGGAACGACACTAAGTGACACACAAGGCAGGCAGAAATAATAAACTCAATTTGTAACTCACACTGAATAAAAACCAAGTATTCAGAAAGTGAAAGTGTAAAACATCAGAGTAAGTCAAACATCTCAACAACTCCATCGTCTTCTTCTTTTGGCTGCTCCCTTTAGGAGCCACCACAGTGATCTGTCCACCACCCTGCACGCCTTCCAACAGTACATCCATCAGTCTCCTCCGTCTGAGCTCCTCCTCTTTCACTCCTGCCTGGAAGCTCCATCCAAACATCCTTCCTCTACACATGTCCAAACAGCTCAGCTTTGTCCTTGGACGTTGTCTCCAAACCGTTCGACCCAAGATGTCCGTCTGACATTTCTACTCGTCTCTGATCTTTTCCATTCTGGTCACTTAACATCTTCAGCTCAGCCTCCTGCCTGTTTATCAATGCTACTGTCTCCAAACCACACATCACCTTGTAAACCTTCCCTTTTACTCATCTCCACCCACTCAGCCCTGCCTGCACTCTGTTCTTCAATGCCTCAGCTCCAGCCTCCCTTTCATTCACACACATATTCTGTCTTGCTTCTACTGACTTTCATTCCCCTTATTTCCAGTGTATACCTCCACTTCTCTCTCATCCACCTGCTCCCTGAGGAACCAAGACTTAAATAATAAGTCCAAAAATAAACCTTGACATCACTAAAATCACCCTCAAAACAAAAGGAATCCAAAACTAATAATAATCCAAAAACTTCAAGCACTGCGACGACAATCACAACCAAACTCAAACACAACAGAAAAGCCTGAAACCACGACAACTTCTGTGTAACATAAAACTGTAATAACAGTAATAGTTACCACTGGGACAGAAATAAATAATAACACTAGATATAACTCAGCAGTCAATGTAGCCTGTACCCCACGATTAGAAAGTAAGTAAAGCAAAAGTATTTGATTGGACTTTATTCATCATGAACTGGCTCAAAGTAGATGACAGGCAGAGAGTTCACACAAGATGTTCATTTAAATAAAAGATAATTTAATAAACACAAACTAGCCAAAATACAACCATCACAACTGGTCTGATTCCAGGTGGAGTGGAAGAAAAACACGAGCAGCTGATCTGGGTTTGCTTTTATAGCCAGGAAGACACATCCGAGCTGCGTTGGGTCAGTCTTCCCATGTCAGCTGATAACAGGCGGCCAGCAAAGACGAGCCTCCTGTCACAGTCCTCCATGTTACAGTCGCCCTTGATCTGGTGCTAACAGCTTCCTCAAAGTCATCCTCACCCTGTGATCAAGGTCGTCTTTTGTGCTCACTGGACAACAGGTTGAACTTTGGCTTTTCAGAATAAGATTACAGTCACATTACATTATAAGTCATCTCCTAATTCTGCAGGTTACTGTGTGCTGTTACTTTCATTTTGACACCAAAGATCTCCAACTTTACGTCCTCAGACCTTCACCTCACTCGCTCGTTTTTCTCTCACCTTCAACCTGTGGCTGATTTTCCATGCTGTGCTCTTGGCTTCCTCTGCGTATGTCGGTCTTTCAGGTTTTACTCACTGCCTCTTATTAACCTTCTCCGATGTAGTGATCACTCAGTTTTGTCACTTTGTTCCAGCACTTCACTCCTCCACTCCAGGTCCTTTAAACCTTCTTTGCTGTCACACTTTGAGCTTCTTCGACACTCAGTTTCTGTAATGTCGTGTTCGCCTCTCGTTTCTCTATATATTCAGTAAAACCTGTGAGCGTCTGCACTGCCTCGTCTAGCCTCCTGCGATGGCTGAATGTCTTCTCTGACTCATGTTGATCGAGTGCCTCTTATCATTTTTAGCTTCTACATTTAGCCCGCTACTCAGAATCTTATCACCGCCATGCCCCTCATCCCAGCTACGGTGCCAGCTCTGGTACAGTGTGTGCTGCCCAGAAACAAAGACAGAGGCACCGGAGCTGTGTGACTGTGTGACTGTGTGACTGTGGTGTGTGTGTGTTCAGGGATGAAGGTGTCGTATGCTGGAAGGCATTCACCACTTACAAACAGACAAATATTAATCAGGTGCCTTGGTCCCTGCAGTAACTGATAAACTACAAGCACAGCGTTGACATATTCATTTTAAAATTTCTATATATGTTAAAGTTATTATTATTATTACCGTTTATGTTTAATGTTATTTGAAGAGTGTAAGTCCAAGTTCATTGCTTCATTTAGCTTTGCCTTTGGTGCCCTGAGATAAAGATCCAACAGTGTTGCTGCTGAAAAGATCAAACAACCTCAACATCTCATCTCCAGCTGAGTTTTTTATTTTTCTGCTGAGCAGATGTGCAGCTTTCTGTCTGCAAACCAAAAGTAAACCCACGCAGGGTCAGGAAAGACCAAAAGATCTGAGAGTAGCTACACCACCAGTTTGTAAATCGCTTGATTAATTATGACATTCAAGTCATACATGAAAAAAATCAATATAAATCCACGATAGCAAAAATATCCATCCATCCATTCGCTTCCGCTTATCCTTTTCAGGGGTGCTGGAGCCTATCCCAGCTGTCATAGGGCGAGAGGCGGGGTACACCCTGGACAGGTCGCCAGGCTGTCGCAGGGCCAACACACAGGGACAGACAACCATTCACACCTAGTGGCAATTTGGATTATCCAATTAACCTATCCCCACAAGCTGCATGTCTTTGGACGGTGGGAGGAAGCCGGAGTACCCGGAGGGAAGCCGGAGTACCCGGAGGGAACCCACGCAAACACGGGGAGAACATGCAAAGACCCCGGCCTGATGGTGGAATTGAACATATGGTTGAATTGGAAATATAATAATGTTATATATCACTGATTCCCAAAGCGTGGACTGCGGCTAACACCAAACTCTGCTGGAACATTTAAATAAGGCCCGCGTGGCTGCAGAAGTGAACAGCTGGACAACAAGAAGTCAATTCTGATAAAACAACACCAGAAGTGAGAGCCCACGTGTTCCTGCCTCACCTGGTGTTTAATGTCAAACAACTTAATGTCTTTAAATATTCAGATCTGGTGCTTCAATAGACCTTTGACCTGTCAGGGTGTATCCGTCTACACCTGTTAAACAGGCTTTGGCTCACTGCAATGCTAAACTGGAAAGTAATTAAGAAATTAAGCTCATAGATTAATATATCTGGAAACAAAGAAAATTAATTAAAGGTATGAAATTTAAAAAAAAAAGCATATTATTCTTAATTTTCTGCTCTATTTTTGATCAACTCCATCAAGCAGCTGTTCAGAATGAATCAGTGAAAACATAAACAAATAGTTTATTTGTGGTGTTTAGGTGATGTTCAGAGTTGGGAATGGGATCTGAAGGTCACAGGATTAAGTTTGGTGTTGACTGTTATATATTATATTTACATTTGAAGTTTTAATGCTGGAACTATTTTCAAAATAAAACAATCACTTACTCCCTAAAACGTATTACTGAACTATCATCTGATATTATGCACTGATGAATTTAAATACTTTATCTGTTTATGTTTTCTTTTGTACTCACAGTGTACACAGGTGCAGAATTAAAACACCCATTTCCTTTAAATATTCCAGCATCGTTTGGTATGAATGATTTTCCGATATGAAGCCAGAGACTGCAGGTGATCTGGCTCTGGGATGTGTCAGATGGCTGTCCATGTAAACAGGACGTCGACCTTATAAAGACCGACCGCGTAGGCGCCGAGTGACCATCTGCTCCCAGACTGCACAAAGACTAATCACAGCTCAACACAACAAAGGGTTCATTTATCACCATTGACACCGAATCATCCACATATAACAGCAAACTGACTCTGAATTAAGAAAATACGCATATCAAGCAAAAAATAATAAAATGTGGATAAATGATTCTGATCGTGGATAATGCTGTTGTTGTTGATTATATGAAAAAATAAGCTTCAATAATCAACTGAAAGCTCATTTTTCTCGGTTTGGGCACTTTGGAAATGCACATTGTCCTGGTTACACAACAAATCTTACAAACTGTGACATATTAAAAAAAGTTAATTAATTAAAAAGATTTTTCCAGTACCTGTTACATCCCAAACTAGTAAAAACATCTGTGGACTGGAATGTGCACGGCTCAAACCTGGAAGGCTCCACAACCAGCAAAACCCAGCTCAGCCTGTAAACTATATGACAGGCGACTGTAACCACACACACCACCCACGGCTTGTGCTCTGCTTTCTGAGGCTTTTACAGCGGTGAGCGTAAACTGGCTGCTGCATGTTAGGATTTAAGGACCGTGACTCGACACACTTCCCATTGTGCTTTATTGTTTTAATGACTTTGCACATAAACACTGTTTCCCAGGTTCGGCACAAGCGTCCACCAGCTTTCCAGCTGCCTCTGGTCTCTGACCTCACTATAAACAGGGGGAACCCTCATTACTTAGATCATGTCCACCTGTCCCTCTAACCTCGCTGGCGCTGGCCCTTGAGCTCACTGCACCACCCCTCCCCTGCAGCTGTGCCACACCTCCACCACGATTTTAAAGACAAAAGTGACCAAATTTACACGAGAAGGTGAGGAAATAAGCTTTCTGCTAACATGAGCAAGCCTGGTTTGTCGTGGTCTGGGTGGTTTTCCACAGCATCAGCTCCTCCCCAGTGGGTGGAGTCTTTGTTGTTCCTCACCTGATGGCAATCGTACCAGCAGTATTTATGACCGGCGCACTCAACTGGTCTTCGCCAGATTATCTGCCAACTTTAGTCAGTTCTCGGCCTCACGTCCGTTCCTTGGTGACTAATCGTGTGTATTAACCGTATCTCTGTTTTTCTCGTCAGCCTCTGAAACCCACCTACCAAGCTCTCCTGGATACCAGTTTGCTGCCGCCGGTAATCCCTCTCCGTTTTGGAGCTGCCATTCTCTCCTGCCTGCCTCCCTGCATTGCATGCAGCACCCACCTGGACCTCTCCTGCCTCCCCCCTCCACGCAACCCCCACCTGCAAGCTTGTAAGACAGCTCAGTGTACTATCCTTAGATTCACTCGCAACCCTCTGTGGGATTCCCCTGACTGCTCTGTCCTCTGTTTCAGTGCCCTGGCCCGCCACAGTTTCCCCTGCCCAGTACCTGCACCCAGTTATCCCTGCCATCTAGTTATCATCACAGTATTTTTCTCTCGCCTCAGACATCTAGTTTATGTTCATTGATTCTAGTCTGCACTTTCTGTTAGCCTCTGAGCATTGTAAAATAAAATCTCTTTTCGTTACACCTCACCCCTGGCCTCCGGTTTTGAATCTGCACTTGAGTCCATCCCATGTCCACGGGCCACTGCGCCTGACATGGTTAGGAAGCCAAAGACACACATATCTGCTAATTGATGCCACCATTGATTATCTTCCACTTATTAAGAGATTTGCTCTAAGTCATACAATTGATTTCCATGTATAAATGCATTAAAACAGTAAGACAAAGACAGCTGAGAAGGTGAGGTGAGGGTGAAAACACACTGCAGTGCAGTCACATCCCTAATTTTAAACTCATAACAGTCTCCAAATCATTGAGCTGTAACATTCACGCAGCTTACTGTAGTTATGATGTTGGAAAGCATCAATAGAAACCAAAATCTTTTTTGAAGCAGGCAAACAAGTTTATTTCTGCTGCAAAGATTTTAACATTAAATGTCTATGAGGACTCGCTGATGGAGCCAGCCTCTTGTGGCCACTAGAGGAACTGCAGCCTTTGGTACTTCAGCTTCTTTTTCAGCTTTGGAGGTGTCCATTTATTTATTTTGACCAATCACATTAAAAAACTTAGATTTTAAGTTTTTATTGTGATCACTGTGAAGAAAATACAACTGCAAGACTTTACTATCGGATTTCGTTAGAAATCAGGATCAGTTCCACGGACGGATTTGTTCCAAGAACAGCATTTTCCTCCCACAGTTAATTGTAAATGTAAAAAAAAAAAGAAATATATATAAATACATCAGTTACCATGACAACTGAATAATGTTGGCAAGAAAATGCACTGCTGACTTCTGTTACAGACCAGCATGCTTTCATAACTGGTGATACCATCGTCTTGGGGCACTTTCTCATTAATACTCATAATATTTATCCTTCTACTTGATATTTCTGTGCTCACCAGCACTCACAGAGATCCAAACCCATCAGGGGTCAAACAGTAAATCAGTGGTTCAGTGGCCTGAGAAACAGCTGAGTCCTGGCTGACTTTGGGCCTGCAGCCATCACAGCCTCACCCAGAATCACAGCAAACACGACTCTCTGGGAACGAGCTGCTTTGGTCTCTTCTTGAAGCTGAATTTGGAGTTTTTATAGGTGGTAAAAGAAAGAAAAGAAAGCCTCCTCACTGACCAGCTCTCTCTCTCTCTTTGTGTCTTTCCTCAGATCTTGTTAATGAATTCTGAAACACAAAGCTTTTCCTGGGAGAGGCCCTGTGATCTCGTCCTGATGTGAACCAGTGCTGCTGCCAGCCACAGCTCAGCAGAAACAACACATTTCTCTTCAGGTTTTCAACAGTTTATTTTTTAATGGAATACTGTACTGCACTACAGATAAACTCAGATCCTGCTGCTGTTACTGACAGTGGAAACTATGCCATACCAGCGCTTTGAAGCTGAAGCGCGTCTCATCTGCAGCTTTTTGCAGATGATGTTTTTCCTTCTAATGAGCCTGCACTGTGATGTGTGGATGACATCGCTCTTTCTCAATTAAGCAAACAGAAAACCAGCTGTGTTATTTCCGGATGCTCTGACCTCGACTCGACTGCCAAGAAGTGGTTGTTGTCGAATTCTCTTATCCTTAATGAGAAGAAAACCGAGATTATGATTTTTGGTAGTAATGCCCTTCGTGCCAAACTTCGGGATGCCTTTGGTTTTCTTAGTTGTTCTCTCTCTGATACTGTCAGGAATCTGGGTGTCTTATTTGACAGCTCCTTTTCACTTGACAAACAAGTG